ATATGGAGATTTAGTATTTATATATGTACATGGACTTTTTATTTTTGACGTATATACATCGAGAAAATTTTTTAGTTACAACAAACCCTTTTTTTTGACTACTTGTAGGATTGACAGTTGATTTACGCCAAGGTCTCGGTTGGGTTCACTTGGGAAGAAGCATGTTAATGGTTTGTGGTGACTCTAACTACCCCTTGCTTGTTCCTGTTATGAGTTTTTAGGGCTACCCTAAGCGGTCCTTGCCATAGTCAACAGCACACCTTTACAAATGTTCGTATAGGTCTTTTTAAAGCGTGTGCATATAAGCTTTATACACCCATGGAGTCCAAACGGTTCCAACATAGTTTTTCGCTGTTCTAACCATCAACTACTTTTAGATGCAGCTGCTTTGCTCATTTCTCATTGATTCTCGCCGAATGAATCGATGGAAATTCTCGCCTCGCAAAATCTATGCAGAAGTCATTTTTACGGCGAAGCAAGCTTAAACTCAGCATTATAATAATTATTATTATTATTATAATTATTATTACTATCTGCTGTTTACTAGTTATAATACTACCACGATGGCTACACGTATATGTATCTTAATATTAATAAGTAGAAAAAAATCGTATAACTACGGCTGTTAACTAGTCAAACTCTCATTTCTTGCTTAAGGTCTCATTCAGGCACACGTCTGAGTGTTTTCATTTCTCGAACGAACAAGACATGGTACCACAAATGTACGCATCTTGTGACGTCGCTGTACAAGTTGAAATTGTGTTTCGGTTTGTGTGTTATCACTTACTAGTTACCTTAAACCCCATGACAGAGCACTAGCCATCCGTAATTCTACTTCATAAGCGTGTATGTGTATATCAATAACTCTGCACTATGATTGTTGTTGACACGGCAACGTCACGATATTGGCCGTTTCCAGTCTGTCACGATAGACAATTCTTGTCTCGAAACGACCACTTGTTTCAAGTAGACGCTAAGATGTCCTTAACAATTAAGAACGTGATAACGGTGATTTACTCAAAATGATGTTCTCGCTATGTGGTAACAATAGACTTAATTGCCACTGGAATCTACGAATAATCCATTCGGTCCAAATATAAGCAGTACTTGCTTATAGAAACAAGAAAGTTAAGTTTGCAGTATATGTATAAATGTGCACAGAATTAGGCTGAACTTATGGTGTTTCCCAGATAGTTTGCAGCTAAGTTGATCATGTGTCGAAATATCCATGCGGTTCTATTTGACCGCTTTGCAATGCTTGTCGTACAATTAAATTTATCCTTATTATTATTAGATGGATGTCACGATAGTTGTCGGTGGTGAAACGAAAGCCTGATCCGACTGAACATTGGTACCTTAATCGACCTTCACAGGCAAACACGGTTATTATTGGTGACACTCGCAATTGTCTACCTCACTGATCATCGACAGCGAACACTATAAACCTATGTAAATTTCTACGCCGCGTTTTCTGGGCCACTACAGATGTCCCCGCCTGTTGGGAGACAAGCTAAAGTTGCCAGGTCGGGTCTACCCAATCGTCCTTCACGCATGTAATTAAGTTCGTTGAAAATTCTCTGTGGATAGTCTTTTTCCTTCGTTTACTGCGAGGATTTTTTTCACAAACGTTCAAGATTTTTCGGTCCATTTGCTGAGCATTGCAGGAGCTGGCGATCGATTGTAGCATTCGTTTATGTTCCCCACAGCAGCCGAATGAGACGTGATTTTTTATTCACAGGGTTGATGACGTCTCCGTGTGACTGTCTTGCCTTTGACGCCTGGGGCAACTGTCCCTTCTATGGGCAGCGTCGAACTTCACTCCACCGTCTTCAGCATCTGGGTAGCCATCCTTCAGCTCTGTTAGCATGCGGATTAAATTGTCCAGTCCTACAGATTGAATTATCGAACGACGGATACAAAACAGACAAAAAAAGTAGTTAGTCTTCGTTGGCCAAACGACAGTCACTGACCTTCGCTTGACTTTAAAAACTGTAACCCTAAAGTCGTGCGGGCAACAATAGACGAACAAATATATATAGAGAGGCAGATAGATATGTAGCGCTTTGCTGATTCTCGTTTATATCGTTTACCGCTTATTACGAGCTCACCTAAGAGGTAGCCGGCGTCAGGTCCATGGTGAACCGTGGTGTCGCCTTCATAACCTTCATACGTAGTATGAGCAAAATCGATTAGGCGAACATCAACCAAGGGACCGTGAAGCTCCTGATAACTTTGCCTCGATCTTCTCGATCTCGGCGGCCACCTCTGCGGACGATCTCTGCCCCGTTCAGAATGATGACCGCTTAGCAATCCCCCACTTGCCGATCCTTGACTCACGGGATGTTCTACGGTTAACAAACCCCCGCTTGAGTGGTGATGGAGTGACGCTAAACCCGGCCGAAGTCTAATACCCCGAAGCAAACGCTGCATCGGACCTCCGCCATGGTGGCCGTGATGACCTCTGGCAGATGACGGCGCCGAATCTAGCGATGAATCCATCGACGAATCGTCCACATCTGTGACACCGCCCGAAGAAGACGCGCAGTCCATAGCCTCGGTGAGCTCCATTTCGAGTTCGTGTTCAGGCCCACTCGTCGCGTTGTCGTCGTGGACGACCTCAACTTCATCGTCATCATCAACTACCTCATGGTCAACATCCACGTGATGTCCGTGGTCGTCGACGTCATCGTCGACATCCTGATCATGGTCGGGATCGTCGTCTTGATCCGAGAGCGTTTCATCCACCTCTTCACATCTGGATGTTCAAGTGACACATGTGGATTTCAAGGGTTTATTATCCGTACATATGTACGCGTAATTTCGTTCAGAAGAAGGATTAACTAATGTTAATGTGGTGGTAAACGATACATTATACATAGTGAATAATAACAATAGGCCGCATACATGTCAGATATATGATTAAATAGACTGACTGTTATTATGAATATTATATCCAAATTGCAATAAACTTCTACACCTATAGCTGTCGAGAGATGCGAAGTGCGCACAATTACAGACATACAAGGAGCCTTACTTAGCTGATTTAGACGATATCAATGCTATATAGAATATTACCCTTCATAGATGATTAGAAGCGACGATGAATAGAAACGGAATGAGTGCTGCCTCTCAATGGCAGTTCTCAGCGCTACCAGCTTGTCAAGGATCAGCTCGATGGCATCGCTACGAAGCGTGTACCCGTTGTGGAAGAAGTGGTATAAACTACGTGCAAAGCCACGTGAATCCAATCGTCTGCCATAGTACTTGTCTTTGCAATAGAACGAGCCGATGTCCGCCTGGTACACCTGTGAAGTCAGGCCATATGAATATCAAGCGACACACAAACTACTGAATATCTCGGTTTGAATTTCTCTACTGCCTTTTGATAAAAGCCTACCTTTTATATGGACTAGATGGAATTATAAGTTTGACTCTTTTAAACACTACAATAACCATAACCTTATATCTAAAATGTACAATTTGAAAAGTTACTTCAGTAGCTAGTACAAAATCTACTCTTCACCGAAATACTGCGACATCAACAAACAGTGATGACCGAAACGTCCTAGTATATATTGGCCCACAACGACAGATACCGTAACGTTCGAAGGGTAGAGTCTGGCGCCGCGACGCAAAATGGTGTCCTTTTTAGTCGTCACTATTACAAGAGGTATCGTTAACATCCTGATTCACAGTGACCGAGCAGAATAAACAAGTAGTACACTCTGTGACATCGTCACGTACGCGGATAAATCCGTAAGGGGCGCTACTATCGGTTAATTAAAAATTGATACAACAAAGGTCCCGTTATTAAATGTATTGCATGCGCACTGAACGGGGAACGCCAAGCAGAATCGATCTTGACATCGTTCTCATTTAACCGGTCAGATGCATCAAAAGAACGTAGTTATTACTTCAGCGTCGGAAAAATTAGTACGGCGACCTGACCCGACAACTCGAAGGAAGCCATATGCGCTTTGTTGATGCCGCCGTACAATATTGTCGATTCATACAAGATAGTGAATATCGTTCACCAGAACATATATTTCATCGTTAGGTAATCGATAGCGTACATGGCACATGGTTTACATTCGTCAGAAGAGGGCAAAGACTCAAAATACTGCGGCAAATAGTGAGCCCCTCTTTTTGTTTAACTGTCAATAGATCTAGATAGGTTGTTATGCGAAATAGTCGGCTATTAAGGAAATAAGCAAACCCAAAACCACAGACGCGATCGATAACGACCTGTTCGCAGAATAGACGTCTCAAAGGGAGACCCACCTGCATTCCGCATAACCTGACGCCAAGTTGCGCGGAGGTGCTAGCTGCGCATTTGGCCATTTGTCGGTGTCGCTTCTCTTCTGACGCGTCGTCACCATGCTGACGGGTACCCATCTTTAAGTCCAGAATGCATGGCTTATGGAATCGTGATACGACGTTCTCCAGCAGCAGGAAATATCGATGACGCACCTGTAGTTATTAAACAGTAGTATATATGAGATGATGAATGCTTATGTAGATGGTGCATAATGGCAACATGGGTAAGCTACGTTTTTTAACTGCTTTGAAGTTGGCATTTGTTTTTCTGTAAGTGTAAAGCTGGCGGTACTTTCGTTGCGGAAATTAACGTTGAACTAGTAAGTTAGCAAACGTCACCCGAATAGTTGATTCAATTCGGTAAAAAAATTATTAAAACCCTTATCTCTATCTATGCAAGCTTGTGTAAATGAAAAAAAAAAGCTGCTCAACAGCTTTATGAACCTTCATTTGAACTTCTTGCATTATAGTTACCTTAACCATTTACTCAACGAAGATCGCACGGTACAGATGATAACGCCAATGCAAGCTAGATACTATTTATCATATGTATTCATCCACGCCTATCCAGTGTGTGGACCCGCCTGTACGAAGCATATCGTAATTTTAGCTTATTTCACAGTATCTCAAATGGTATTTCGCTTCGACAGCTAAGCAGTAAGCAATAAGGAGTGTTGATGACATCACTAAGGAACGCTTAAGTACAAACACTTTCGTCTTCGGTTAAAATGAGCTTGATCCACGTCGTTGTTGCGTGGTCCCCGGTCCCAACTACTGTGAATGACCCCTCGCAACTCAAAAGGGCCCTTTACTGAGCGAGCGGTCGTTCGAAAGGTCCCCTGTTGGCCAGTCTTTGAAGCTACCTTTTTGGAAGTTGACCGCAAGTTACGTGCTTGTTTTTTTTTTTGAGCGATGTATGAATGCGTAGCTCTGTGAAATTCCCTAACGTTATCTTTCCTATTAACCTGTAGGATACAATACATTTTCCTGCATTCAGCAGGTCTGGAGCAACAAATGACGTTTTTGACTCTTTTGAGATGAATTTCTCTTCCGCTAAATAGAGAAAATGTGCATGATAAATGAAATGAGGAAAACTATCTTTCTCCAGTTAATTAGTTTCCAGTCAAAGAACATAAGTTACTTAGTATAAAATGAGCACCTCGAGTTGGTTGAATTCGATGAGTTGAAAACAGTGTTTAAAAATGCTTGTTTTTATGTTATTTACCGAATCTTCAACACTCTTACGATGTTAAATAAACATCAAAGGCGACAAATTCACCCAATGGGAAAGCATCAAAAGTAATGGACTGTACATAACAGCATTCATTCTTTAAATATACTTTTTCAAGGTCCATGTCACAGATAATATGACGGCGTTAATGTCATCAGTAAGCACATAAAAGTTCTACAGTAATGAGATTTTTATCAGAAATGGTATAAGGCCATTGATCAAAGTTTATTGTTATTAATAGTTATTGATTGTTTGTACTTTAAAAAGATTATTGAATCAAATATGCGCTAAGTATAAACAATTATTGCTTAAATTGTGGCTTAAAAAACTGAATACTTTTTACATGTATATATATATATATATATTATATTAGGCGATTAAAAGCGAATCTGGCGGAAATTCGGTAAGTTGAACTAGCTGGGCAAGACTTAATTCTTAATATGCGTTAAAGGTACACTTGTTTATGCTTTCACACTTAAACTCTAGCGCTCTATCAGCTCCTGGATAATCAAATACTTATTATCAGCGTTGTCGTATGTAATAGCTTTGTAGATATCGAAATATGCTTGTACACCAGTTGCCCGTTTTTCTGTAATTACTTTGACTTGGGCCGCAAGAACAAGCGAATTGAAAGCAACGTTGGACGTTCCTTTGTTCAAGCTATGAGCTTGAAGCATGGCGACGAGACCTGACGTTGTCTTAATCAGACTGCGTGCTTTCGATCGTATCAACTGTCCATAAGTCTCTCGAGGAACTCGAGATAGCGAGCCGCATTCGGCAAGAATCTCATAGTAGCAAATGTCCATCGTAAATACTACCATCAGCTTACGCCCAGACCTACTTGATACTGCCACCAAACTCGATTGCCTGCTAAAACGACGCCATTGTCTCACCTGGTTTCTTTCCGCCTAACTATAGAGATTGAACCATGTTTCGTCGATAGCGATTGTATGTTCCAGACAGGCTTTTTTTTTTATTGATTGAAGTTTTCCAACTTGCACGTGGAATACACCATACGCATTTTTTATTTAGTTTTTATCTTAGCATTTAGATTATAAGTCCGTAGTAGGTTACTTGTGAAATTCGAGTGCCTGACAGAGCCCTTCTCAATTGCAATCATGCGTTTTTGTGCTTCTGGGTCCCGACATCTGATCATCCCCTCGCAGGCCTTTAAGGCTCAATGTTCGTTGTGTAATCGTTTGCACCATTCACGTACTGTGCTTTAACTTACGGCCTGCTTTGAATACGCCCACCAATGTTCAGTGAATTTCTACAGCCGTTTAGAAAATGTTTGTCACTAAGCGTTGATTACTAGAAGTTCTTCGTTCTGAAGTTGAGCAAACTCGAACGAGTTCTCATTCACAAGTTCCTAGTATTTATCAGTCAAGTATCGTCTGCTAATGGCGTGCAGTAAAGTCCACCGGACTTGCTTATAGCATGTAACTAAATGAACGATTTTTCGCCCACAATGGTATAGTTCAGCATCATTGTGGCGTATATGCCAACGCTAGCCACACTGCGTTGATGAATAAAGGCCATAAGGTGATAACGCGTTGAGGCGAACAGCTAAGCGCGAAGGAACTCGACAGAGCTCCCTTGTGGACTGTGTGATACGCGACTGGTTTTCGCCCGTCAAGGTTTCACGCCGAACAATAGAATACAACAATGCCAGTTTTCTTTTAACAATTCAAGAGAGAATTTATATTCGCTATTCATTTATAGGCGAACCGTATTCAGTGCAGTCGCTTGCTCCGTGCTTTACACACTCACCTTGTAATGGATCTCTAACAAATGCATTGTTGGTACCCATACGCAAGCGAGTTGACATAGATTTTTAAGTATTTTGTACCTCGCTGGTCAACTTAATACAGTCAACGCACATTGGCAATGGGTTTTAAAGTAGTAGTTTACATTGCAAAGTAGGACTAATTAAGTAATGCATATTACTTCTGCATCGTTTAACTTATTAGGTATACAATATTCTGTAGCAGTTATAATGTTAGTATTATACGTACAACAGCGGCGCATGGTGAGAACAGCCTAACATCACTGGCATCGTTACTTACATCATAAGTCTTCCGTATATAACGCTGTTCTTACTATGCTACTATCCACTAAGCGAAGTTACGAGGGATCTCTCTCTCAAGTTGCCCTAACTATTTTTCAATCTATGAATCGTGCAAGTTTGGCAGAAATTAGTGCTGCCTTGCTTCACTTCAATGCAGCTTATATGAATCTCTTTTAGCTTCCAAGCAACAATTTCAATGGAACTTATCTAGCGTGTTAAATGCGCGTGTGAATCTGTGTGGTCTAACCTTTCCGTCTTGAACATCAGGTGAAGCATCTTCGTTGTCTCGATGCTTTTCGTATTGTCGCGGATTACCGCTCTTCGTATTATGGGAACTCTGATCTCCCACGTCTGGCACTCCGTTGCCGGCAGGAATACATGTGCAGATCTGCACTCTCAACGATGAACCTGATGGATAAGTTGAATTAGGCGTGAAGTTTTGTTGCTGCTCCTCTTGTTGAGAGTGATGTTCCACTTCATGTGGGTGCAGTAGATGTTTCTGGTGGGTGCAGAGGTGATCTGACGAATGCCGTTTGTTTAACATTGCCGAGGAAGCTGCATTGAAAGCAAGCAAATGACGAGAACGTACCACCATAACATTATATGCACATGTGGTATTGATAGCGTTTATTCGGCGTCTTAAACATGAAACAACTATATACCACCCGATGTAAGTTAGATTAGGGCTTAATGTGGTAAAATGATTGCTAAATTGTTTGTTGCGAAATCTATATACGCGTATACGCTTGCATTGCTTGTCGACCGGTAGCGACACGACGTCACAAAGTCGAGTGGAATGACACCAGTCCCTACTTAAGGTAGAATGTTATTATCGATATTCGGTTATAAGTGAACCTCTTATATTGAGAATGTTTCCCGTTGGAACTATCAATATATCGTCAATAGAGCCACAGTTGTTGATACGGTCTTGGCCTTGAAAGTATATAGCCAAAATGTTACAGAAGCAGGCTGTTCTCATAGCCATATCTCTCCTTTTGGGATTATACAAAAACCGATATCTCGTCTAGACCTAACTAGAGAGTGTCAATGCTTTCTACTCAAGCTGCTAAAGGCACAGATCTTAAAATTCCCATCCTCGTAACAAGTGCAACCAGGTGCCCGCTTCCATTGCCAGTTAAACCTAACTAATCAGCTAAAACTAGGGGAGCGTTTTTTATCGGCCAGCCAAAACATTGTGACACATTAAACGCAGGCACCTAAACGTGAATTCAACCTTCTCGATAAAACGAGCAAAAAAGTAACTCGTTTTGATATCTGTAACAAGCAAGCGATAAATGCGTTTGACGGCTCCAGTCGATGCATTGCTAGGTAACGTTTACGTGTGCTTTGTAGTTATGTAAGTCATAAGACTAAAGAAAGCGATTTCTCGAATGTTGGTGTTTGTTTTCAACATTTTTTTGAGTGTTTTACTTTTTGGCACGCTTTTTGTATTTTATTATCGATAAAATTATCAAATTAATGTTTGTTCTAACGCCCACACTCAAACCTAGAGACAACCTGCTAAAACAACTGCCTGTCGTCTACTACGCAAACTCCAAGCGAGTACACGTGGCAGACGATTTTTTATGCTGATCTGAACACCTAGCCAAACATGATACAGCCAATGGATCGCAGGAAGGCATGACAAGTTCAGGCTCAAAAACTGCCGGTTATCCTGAGCACAAATCCATGATGTTGCGCCTAGGTCAATACGACGCCGAACGAACGCTAAGACTGCAGAAATGGACCACACCCCAACGAGCTGTTGGGGGTTTTGCTGAAATGTTTGTTTGGTTCCTGGACTATTTGCACAAGTTCTACGCCGTCCTGAGAAAAGGACGAAACCGACATTGAAGAACACAACACAGTGCGTGTATAGAGCTAATAGCCACATTTACGTATACGCAGGCACGTCGATACGACTGGTTCAAAGCTTCGTCAAGAGTCTTGAATGAGAAAAGTGTTTCCTTCACCGTGAGGCGAAAACTAACGAAAAAACCGAGTTAAGATTACCAACAAAGGGGGGACCATATGCCTACGTCGACGAAAACGACCTAACGTTGCATGTCAATAATTGAATTCTACGAATAAATGTCAAACAAAGAATTGAAATGCCGCAGTTTTGACAAAATGCCAGTATCACAGAAAAAGCCGGGCCTAAGTGCAGCTTTACGTGACTCGACCGTGTCATTGGGGTAACACAGCCATAGCACTGTCAGAATTTGTAGTCGGGCGAACCAAAAAAGGTATGCCTTTTCAATTTTGCCTGAACGGAAAGGCTGTATTTTCTATTTTCCCCATCTATCAACGAAACATTCCCGCAGATGCTCCCTGAGCGAATCAGTGCAAAAAGTCATTTTACTTTTTGCATTCTGTAGTGCAGTCGTGTGTGCCCTGTGGCTGTTATGCTGTGGTTGACGCGTTCTATTCTATATAGAACGTATTATACGAGACATGTCGATCCAGCATAGAATGGTTATAAATCCGAGCATAAATCCGAGGTTTGTATTGGCTACTGCATGAGCTACCGCGGATCAAAATATGGATTCGTTTGCGTTTTATGCGGACATCAAACATACGACTTGTTACTTTGTATGAAAAATACACTGAAAGGCCGCGAATATGGTAAATCGAATATGGATCTGTCAATACTACAATAGAGGATTGCAAGAAATAAAAATCTAGCTATAAGCTTGTTCATGTATTCTAAGAAAGCAATTGGGAGAAGACTGATGCGAAAAGCCCGCGAAACCAGATTCCTATAGCCAGCTAAGCGGAATCCAAGGTACAGCTAAAAAAACATATCTACAACTCCACTCATGCGCGAAAATATTGGCTATCATTCGTCGAACAAAAACAGGCTTTCGAACTAAACTTTTTTCCAACAAAAAAAGCAGCGCCATATACCACCATGCAGATCTCTGCAACGAAGCTTCTTTATCTTATTTGATTGGGCTAGATCTCATATTTATTTTTCGCTAGCGCTATGATTTCAAATCTCATATGGCTGGTACACTATTTAGCAGACGAATTTTTGCCGTCTAATAACAAAAATAGTAGTTATATTATCATTCATTATAACAAGCACTTCGATGATAGGCGGAGTCCTATATCGACGAAACCACTATCACGTAATAGATCTCATATTAGTCCCTCTTGTTCAAGGTTCCTTGTATCAAAGCCCCTCGAATTACGTTCCCGTCACCACCGACAAATATTCAGGAGAACTAAAACCACGAAAAAGATATAAATATTTGTATGAAATATAGGCAGTCCTTGTCATAAAATCTTGGGAAAAAACTAATAATCGGCCAAGGGCTAAACTCTACTATATGATAAGAATGATAAATACTTAATAATAAAACATATATATCTTGATACTTTTGATAGAGGTTTACAAGGCATAAAAATCTAGCGACAGGCTTGTATCTGTACTCTAAGAGGCTAATACTTCGGAAAAGGAGAGAAATTTATACTCACGCCCATGTTTATCAAGGAGATTTTCTTGATTAGAGTTCCGGTGGCTGCTATACCCGTGTGGCAGGGCAGAATCATCCTGCAATGGAGATAAAACCGAGAGGAGCAAACACAAAAAAGGAGATTTCCATAAATCACTTAACGAAGACGTAAATGAAGAGGTGGAATCGCGAATACGACAAACACGGTATACGCCGCATGTTGAGTACAAACTGTCGTTAGTAGCTAAACACACCCGGGGTTCGAGATTAGAACCGATGATCCCTATAATATATGTTGTTTCTTGCGAGTAAACATTTCAGATATCTTGAATTCAGCATGAATTAATTCGTCTTACCTCCGCCGGTTGGGCATGAACACGTATGACACCTTTGTGCTGTGGCGTGAATGGCCTCAGCTCGCGAGGCATATCGAGGTAAAACTGAAGCTCCCGTTGGATCAATGGCTTACAAAGCGTCGTCCGGTCCAGCAATAACATCTGTGTATGTCCTCCCACCTGAGAACAAGAATGGATCAAATGTTAGGACCAATACATTACATGCAACCCTCTTCTTCGGCCGCCACAGTAAATAAATTTATTATTTGAGAAACTTGAAGCACAGAAGAATTGCCACCACTAGCATTTTATCTACCAACTTTGCAACCCAGTACATTTAGCTATCAAAAGTCGAAAATAAAAATGTTCATCGTTACGGTGATGACAATTTTACTTAGTTAATCTCAGGACACGTCAAGTGGCCTGATCGTATATCCGCTGTAACGCAGTGGTAACATGTTAACGTATTCGTAAGGCGTAGACACAGTTCGTTTCGTGTTAAAAAGAGCCAGGTGCCTAACGGCGTTAAAAATATTTGTTTTAAGATAACTTAGGCTCGAACTCGACCGTAGCCAAATACGGTCCGTTTCATTCGTCCTCGAAGGAAATAGCCACCTGAATAAACCGTGCGTAACGGCAACAATACGAGTGGCAAATATTTATGCATCGTTTTCATTATACGAATCGAGGATTCTTTTAATTTGTGTTTGTTCCCACCTTAATTCAGTGGTACAAGTTGCATCGTTCTCACTTTTCTGGCATTTTTAGTCTTACTTGTTTATATTATTCGTTATTCTACATACGCTTGCTGGTAAGTGCTAGTTCGAAATAGCGTAGAATTGGTTGAACGACAATAGTCGTTGTTACGTTCGAATTAGGCACCATGTCCTTAATCAATGATCCAACTGAGTTGTAAAAATCAAGTTCGGTTCGAACAAACGAAGATCATCGTTCAACTAATTCGGTGACAGAGTGCCTGCTTAGAGGACAAGGCGTAACAAACAAAGTTCTTGCAGGCTGCCAAAAAAGGGACAAATCGGCAACGGGCCAGAATCGAATTTTCGTTACCAGAACTTATGATCTATAAACGATCTTTGGTACGTTACTACTGTTACGCAACTGCTATCGAAAATTCTGGTAACTTCGTGGTCACTAAACCAACTACTAGAATACCAATACATAGAAAGGGTCCAGGTAGATTATACGGTAGTTTCTATTTATGTTACTCTGCTCTAAAACGTTTATGACTAAGCAACTCTCAAATGTATGTCCAAGCGGCCAGTAGAATAAGAAGTTAGATGAATAATTTCTCCGCAGAAAGCAAGTCATACGGCGAACTACGCATATCAGCTAACGCAAACACTTAGGATCGTATGCGGTTACAATAACAAAAATTACGTCTTCCGTCGCTTGTATTAAATCTTTTCAGCTGTATTGACCGTCTAATCAACTCTGATTTTTCCTATAGCTGCCTGTAGTATTACGTGTGTGAGACTTTTTAATACTTCTACAGGGAAAAGTAGTATTATTATATCTAGAGGGCTTTTTTTTTTTGAGGATTCCAAGACCGCTCTTCCTACCAGGCACAGATCGCGCGGGAGAGCATATGTAATCGAACAGCGCATCAAATGGGCCGATAAGTGTCATCAGGGTCTACTATGGTGCAAAACTTTACGCCAACAATTGCCGAACGTGTTGGTTCTTTGATGGGGTTGGATATACCTTTACGAGATGTCGCGAAGTATCGGGGATTTACAATTAGGTATTTGAACATAGTCGACCAGGATTCGTTAAGGTCTTCCTATCTGGGCAGTCCGATGTATTATGTTTGTATCCATAGAGGTAACTGATTGTTTATAAGTAGACCTCCCAATAGGCCCAATAAAAAAAATCTAGCAGTGGCCACTAAACTGGGGCGAGATACCAAAAACAATTTTTCGCAGTGATTGCTAAGCGAATGTGCCTCAAGTTTAACAATGTTTAACATCAATACAACAATATTAATAGCAAAAAGTAATTTAATTGTGTTTCAAATAAATGTTGTTCGGTTAAGCATGGACCGAATTTGCCCTTTAGGTACACACCAGTGTAGGAGTGGTAGTCAAAAAATACATTTTTAAATATATATTCAACACTACCACGCTGTATCGGCATCAGACGGGGAAGTCTAGCCCAATGAAACCAATTTGTTTTTGTTTGTTACTGCAATTGTTACTGAAGTGTCTATATCCTCTATGATGATTGCCGAATCGCGAGTCTTTCAGTGGTCAATAGCTACTAGTATAACTGTTCGTTGTTGGAACAAGATTTTCTAAAATCTGCCACGTGCATACCCGCTGGCGTCGAAGGCCACCGACTTCAAAGTTCGATAAGGCTATTTATTATATAATAGTCCTGCCTAGCCATAAAAACGACAGCCTTATTCGAACGAAGACTCAACGAAATGAAAGGAATATGGAATGAAACGTCTCATAACTACTAAAATTATTAACTGCCACTTGACTAAATGGCATTAGAATTATTGATTTATCGAAATGTTTTTATTGAACAATACAAATTAAAAAATAATATTAAATTAAATTAATTAAAATAAAAAATAAAATTAAAATCCCGTATTCTAGATTACGTCATCTAGTATCTTCTACTGAGAGAGAAATAATAAGACTCTTTTAAATGTCAAAACAAACTACCGCGCGGATTTTTTTTCCGCTTAATTTAACGCAAACAGCTCACTCAGAGCGATTCTCTCGGTTATAGGGTAGCTCCGAAAGCTACCTGAAAATTAACTTTTGTCATACAAAAGGAGTTCAATGGTTTTGCCTAATAAAGTGGAAGTCATTAAGTTTATTAACTTAAAATAGCTGTAAGTTGATTGCGCTAATTTTAGTCAAAACGTAGGAACAACATTTACATGAACGAGATTTGCGGTCGTAATTAATCAAAGCGAACACCAGTAGACAGTGAACTAATCAGACTGACATTAAAACAAAATGTGGCAAATAAAGTTTACTTCCATTGCTTTCACCTCTCTAACTAATAATAATAGTAATTAAAAAAGTTATGCTATTTGAAGACAAGCCCTTTGCATTGAAGGGCTTCATTGAAAACTACTGATCACCCAGAGCCAAAATTAAATCCTAAATCCTACCCAGAACGGTTTAAGTGTCTAAGAGCTATGTTACCGTGAAGCAAAAGTTCAACCTGATTTAACAAAAGAAAAAAAAATAGTTCTACACATCGCCTTTTGTCTCCAGTAATAGCTTATGATAATAATATCAGTTAAAGAGTCCTGCAGTAATAGTCATGACTTCATGACAACAGCTTCAGAAAATAATGCCAAACGTCGAGAGATTAATGATCCTCGTCGCCAAGTCACTACACCGATAATAACACGATGCTTGACAGAGTCTAGCGGCTCGCCTGATGCCTGACCAGTAACTGACCAACGTCATAGTAAATCATGAAAGAAGTCACTGAACCACAACTGTGTGGTTCATCTCTATTATGCACGTCGCGTAATCACACGAAGGACTTCCATGGACCCGAGGCGATAATAGGCGAACCCGCAGCGTTGCTAACCACAACAGCAGTTATATGACTTCAAAGATCTTGTTGCCAAAGATGCCGTCCGCGCAGATATAGACATACTGCGATACTGTTGATGGCTTGGAGAAAGGCACGGTGACCGCATCGAAAACCCATATTTTCCCATACCGAGCGCTGCGAGTCTTAGCTTTGAGTAGATCTACCGCATCGTTTCAACGACTCGGCCGACGTCAGAGTTATAGCGGCTGAACAGCGGACAACAAAAAACAACGACACGGGGTCCGTCTCAGTAGTAACCATTATAACTCACGTCAGACCAACAGCGAGCCAGAATTATGAACCAGAAGGAAATCTGGACGCTTGGATTGAACAGATGAAATACGCGCAACACACGTCTCGCGGAAAATATTTGTTCGTTACCGCATTATTCCTATTTACCGCTGCGGCACTTCCAGGTAGCAGGCTGTTTCTGGTCAAGGTTGACTGCGACATAAACGCAAACACCCATACGGTGACACTTTTGGATAATGGGACACTTAGCGGGACCAAATAGGGGTTCTACCCAAGTGGGGGACCTAGCAGGTCGGCAGTAGCTTAAACAGAGAAAATGGCGACACACGATGCGCTGCAAAATTTGAAGTAAGGTGGAGATTGCTTTTTAGGCGAGATGTGGGCCAAATCTTATCGTCACTAACATGGTGCGTTGTTTTTATGCAAGCTTGTTATGTGTAAGCTATCGTGCTTTTAACATGTATTCTAAGTGGAAATCATATTTGAAAATGAAATGTCTTATGAGCTCTTATGAGTGTTAATGATTCAGATGAGTGGCTTAACCTAAATTTGGTACAAGAAAAACGGGGACACTTTTATGCTACCAGTGAGTGCTCTCTGCAGCGTCACATGAGGGTTCCTATAATCAAAGTATAGGAAAATGAAGTGGCGATGGTGAGTTGAGCGAAAAGTTTGCATAGTTGAAATCCCTTGGGAGGTGGGCGCTACCAATAATTGGTAAACACTAAATTGGTAGATAAAAGACTTTCCTAAACAGCGTAAGTAAAGAAACCAGTGACGTCCATGAATGCTGTAATAATTATTCAATACTTGTGTACGCCTTACGCGAAGGTACGAGGCCATCTCAGAAGCTAAGAATAATCAACGTGAAAAGTTGCTAGGATGAGGCAAGATATTCAAAACAATATTGATTATGTATCCTTTATCTCTCTCCTTCCACTTCCCCTGACAAATATCCTTTTGTACAGAATTCCCCTCCAGCTCCCTTTAAAAGTTTCTTGTTTATGTTGACGTCAATTACTTTGAAGCACCATATTGCACTCCGTCAAAGTATGGAATTACGTAGATAAGCACGCCTACCTCATATCTCGCTTGATTTTTGAAATCTACCTTTTTTCGTGCAACGTATAACATATATTGAATAAATAAACCACATGTATGGCGTCATGCTGCCTATTGCCGTCACAGCCAAATTTGGTGTAGCCTTCCAGCTCGGACGCGAGTATTCCAGTTTGGGTAAAAGTCTGTGTTCAATGCGCCGCTAATCGGCACGCCGCGCCATTTGGTGATAGAAATCTGAGAGTTAGTTTTTCGGTAGAAAGGAGACAGGTGAAGTTACACGGACAATGATATTATTGAATAGAGGGGGAAACGGAGCACTTCGTTCATGAGCATGCTCAATGCTGAGACTCTGCAATGGCTTATTGTAGATAGGAATTTCTATGCATAGATGTGGCTCGCTGGTTTTTGCGCATACAGAAAACCACAAGCAACGGTTACTTCATATAAAATCAGCCGTATACAATCGTTGGTTTATCGCAATAGTATTGTTGAATATGCCAAGAGTTTCATATGTAATTATATATTAATAATGAGTATTACTTCAGTATATACTTATTGTTTCATTGCTGGTTACATTGGTTCAAGTTGCAAGTAGTCTAGGTGCAGGTAAGAGCCCATTATTTCGCATTGTCCCTACGGTTCTATTAGTATCCACCGTACCTAAAGTCGGCGCCGTCACCATACAATTGTGTGTCAGATGTACACATGTTTCGAAACAGACATCGTTCCTACACCTTCGTTCAGACACCTCTAAGGATTCATTCGCGTCAGTTACGCACTGTCAGTAGATCCACAAGTAAGCCTTTTCAGGCCCAACGCTTTAATAGCTAACTCTCCCCTTCAATTTTGATAGCGCTTTATTTCTGTGATTCGCTGCAAACGCTGACGGTCCATCGAGAACTGTCGGTCGCTTTTTTTTTTCCAGGCGCCAAACAATAACAACGATATTGAATCTTTTTTTTTCAGTGCGTGGAGTCATTTCCTCAATAATGACGTAGAAGCCGAAGAGGCACTTCCATCAGTTGACTACGCAATCTATTATAGTTGAGCATGAGATCGGAATAGTTCAATCATCAGTTAAGAGCCGCCTTCATTTTGGCTAATATCCCAAAAACGTAAGAACAACATAAGATATATATTGTCCTATCGTAGCCCCTATAAAACCTATTATTAGAAAATCCAACTTTTGCGCATTGAGCGATGAAGAAGGTATGTGTGTCTGTTGATTGTACGGTCTGACTCATTCCTATCAGTATCTCAGCGCAAACTTCCGCGGTCCCGGTGTCACGCTCAGTATGATCATAACACGTATCGTCGGGACAATATCTCGCAAGCAGGACCGTTAGTATCCCGGCACCCCACATCAAAGCCCTTGAATTTATTAACGGTCAGCGTCAAAAAAAATAAAACAAACCAAACAAAGCCGACACCTCAGTTCTAATACCCAACCAAAACCCCGTAGACTACTATAAATTGTCGACCGAGTCAATGCTAATTGTACGGTAATCATTTTGGCAATGTTTCCTTCCCATAAAGCTTAATTGTAGCTTGAATCAGTAGTCTTAAAGTGAATGATTCTCTATTCAATACCAGTCGAGATTAGCGATTATGCGATAGGGCATCAGTGATTATATATCCTATCTAACTATGTCGATAATCGATGTTACTACTAGAAAACGTCGCCCGTTGAGTAGACGTGCGTTTAATATCAGATTATCTTTGCAGTAATTATATATGTGCTCTGTAATCACCATTCCCACTGTATAACATGGTGACCTTCAAAAGGTTGTAATATAGACTTGAGGGTGTGGCTGTCCACAATGAACCTTCCCGATCATTCGTATTTCGAGATAATTCAAGTCCAATCCAATTGAATCGAGAAATTTCCACAGATCGAATCATTAAATTCTACTAGATACTATTCGTACGTTAAAGGAAGCCATAGGCCAGTTCCTTTGGAGCTGTTGGATTGTACTGATCAGAAGCGATATGTTCCAATTAGCTAATAATAATAAATCAGTCACAGATGGCGTAGAGTTTCGTTTTGTCGACATTTTGTTATGCGAATCAGGACAAGTAGGTACGAGACAGTTGATAAAAAGCCGAGGTCACTTTTTATTGGACCCTTGATTTGGTCAAAGCTTCTTGAACATTTAACTAATACCGACAGAACAGATTTGTAGTAAACTTGCATAGTTGTACTTTATCAAATTGCAACTCCCTTCAAAACCACCTTTCAAAACAAACGTATGATAAACTTAATATAAACCCGACTTTTTTTCTACATAGCTATTATAAACACGTTTATAATAATCAAACAAGTTCGCTCTATTCGGACTTAACGTTTGAGATAATTGGCAAAAATATGGGCGTACCACGTTTCTAGCGTTCAATAATATAAGCCGCAATGTTTTAGGGCCTTTGCAATTATCAAACGTTACATAGGTAGGACTTGCAATAGCCGTTGATGTCAAATCAGTGTTGCTACTGACCTCACTGTATAGTACTAACTATACAAGCGGCATTACAGCACGCTATTATGATTATCGATTTTTGTCAAATGAGAGGTGGAGCAATTGGCTCAGGTGGAGCAATAGGCTCAGGTAGAGCAATGGAACATAAGCTATTGTATTAATGTGTTTTGATAAAAAAATTATCAAAACACATTAAATCTTTGAAGAACCGATTAGGAATTCAGTAGAAAAAAAAAGATGAACATCATACTAATATATAATAAACTAATAAAATTTTAAACACACTTAGGTAAATAGGATGTTTGCTTATTTCGTGTATATATACGGCTCTATTTAGGATAGACAGGCTCTACACGTTATTCTTCATTTTCCGCTATCTATCAAGCTAACAATTCTGTACGGGTACATTGATAAACGTCTTCGATCGAAGTAAACGCTCCTATTCATATTTAGATATGCTCCGCCTTTTGGTACAAGCACCGAAAATAGGTCGTATCCCCTAATTTTCCCATTTGTATTTCCAACTTCATTATATTATTCTTGCTCATCTTCGAGCGCAATTGTATATACTTTAAATTTGATGTGGAACTTGTTCATATGGAAGCGTCGTTGACACAGAGGACGAGTATCATTCCCTTGCGTCGCCCCGACCGACCCCTCAAGGGTCAGACAGGAAAGAACAAATAGATCTCTGTATCTCTCTGTGATACGGTACCCACCTCTGGTGAGTAAAAGGCAAACGATAGTCGATGGCTTCGGTAAGTTCACTCGATTCAGAGTGACCTTATGCATGTTTTCTCCATGCGTACTCCAACTATTCGTAGTGTAAAATCCCTTTTAGTTGATTTCGCTGTTCCCCATATCTTCATTGCTTTAATTCATGCTTTTCTCTACACGTGGGCGCCGGTTCCTCAAAAAGTACTGTAATTGTTGTTCTGTGCACCAAAATAGGCTCATCTGCCAATAGCCATGTTGAATTCATAAAAACAGGCAACCTTATTATCGTGGCAGCATCGCTACCTAGCGACTAATAGTAATATCTTTATCTTACATTAAATCGCTTATACTGTTATATACGCTTATTTAATACGGTACAACAACAACAAGGTGTGTGTGTGCTTCACCTGTCCTCTCAATTCAGCTGACTTATGAAGCAAGACCTGCTAGACCACAGTATCTACGTGATTAGCGTATATTAAAGTACATTACGATCACTATTGCGCGAAAATCTAAATATAGAGCTGACAGAAAAAGGCAAAGTTTGTTTTTTTAAAAAAAAAAAGGTAATCGGAGCGAAGACCTGCCTACAAAGCCGTTTACCGTCACTTTATAGTTTCCCATTTTTCAAGTGCATTAGTTTAATGGGAACAATTTAAGACCCATAAAATTGCTTTACTCACATTTTTCCACGCAGGCATAAACCTATGCCCTGCGCCTACCGGCGCCTTTATTCAGCGATCCAGCACATAACTGCTGTTCCCCTGGAGTTCCATGTCAGCCTCGCAGATACAATTCGCGGACTGCATTTGTCACGAAGTATTATTATTATTACCCCAGCTACCAACGAAGAAGATGTACGGCAACAGTAATTTCATAGAGAATTAGAATGTTTTTAGAGGCGATTTCACTCCCTGACCATCGCCAAACAGCTAATTTATTTGGTCACCATCGCCACAAAGCAGTCGCGGATTATAAGTGAAGGAAAAAGACAGTCTATAAACAGGCGGTGGGGTTCCGTATGTCACAGTGGTACCCTCATTGCCGTACAAAGCTAGGATGACATGATATGTCGGACTGGTCAGCGCTATGTCTGCATTACTGGGGGGTCGCATGTTTCTGTGGCTATATTAACTGTCATTAGCCGTGATAACGTTATGATATGCCAATCATAGTAAAAGAAGTACAACAATCATAGAAGGAACAACATGGAAAGAAGTCAGCTGAAGGAATAGAGTTCCTTTAGGTGTGATATCATGCATCGGCTATTGAATCCATATAGGATATATGCATGTTTGCACCTATCTGCCTTTAGCAAAAGGTGAATGCGGAATCTTGCTTGCAGCTCATTAAAATAGCCTCTGAGAACATGACACCTATTTTATGTTATCCCTACATATATGTATAATATTATTTTCGTCTTACCTGATGAGTAAACGGGTATAGCATGGTTGTGCTTTTATTGGAGCTGTTCGAATCGGAGTGATGGTGGTGATGGCTATTGAATTGTTGGAGATTATTAAGATGGTGGTTATTTGAATGCCGCGAATGGTAATTGCCGTGATGTTGACCGGCTGCACTGCTGATGTGGTTGTTGTGAAGGCCGCCGTTGTTGTGATGATTACTATGATGATTGTTATGAGAAGATCTTACCACGGAATTATTGGTCGTTTGGGCGTCGAGCGCCCGGACTGACCCAACGAACACCATAACCGATTCAGCAGGTTCAGACGAAGTCCCTGTTTGACCACCGCCGCTGCTCCCGATTTTGCCAACGAGTTTCTTGCCACCGATTTTTTTGCCCTCACTGACTTCAGCGCCCCCGCTAACGTCACTATGTCGGCAACGTTCAATAACCGATTGCTGCTCGTCGCTGTGAGAATCAATTGATTCCGCCGAACAGCTCGTACTTCGTCCACAACTACAGCAGGCGGTTCCAGAGATTGAATTGGTGGCAGTTAACGTATTTCTACAACGACCTATAGACGACGGCGCTGCGGATACCGTTGAACGAAAGTCACCGGGAGAAGACCGTTTCGCCAACAAAGTGTCACCGTTTTTTCTGTTGTGATTGGTGATTGGTGGCTCGCAAACGCCGCAGGCGCAACACCGATAACCTCGGCAATAGGCACAAGACGTATAGAAACAACAATTGCTGCTCCCGGCGCTGGGCGACGAAGCTGACCTTTCGCGCTGACAGCCTTTTGCGGTGACCTGGCTATTACGAACAGTGGACGACGCAGAGTCCGTCCCTGATATCGAATCGTTTTCGTTGTCCTCTGGTACTTCCTGTTCGCTTGTAGGTTCGTTGTCGAATCGGTCCGGCAAGATATGCGCGTCAAGTAACCCTCCTTCAGCTAGGTCTACTGATGACCTTTGCAGAACGCCCTTCGAGCGATTGATAGTAAACGGAGATTGGTACTGATACTCGAGTGCGCGGGAGATGCCAAACGACTGGGAACGTCGAAGTTGATCTAGGTATCGCTGCTGTTGCTGATGAGGTAACTCTTGCAGCCGTTGTTGGAGTTGGCAATTTGGGAATTTCGAATCACGTTGCTGTTGTTGGAGTTGGCAATTTAAGGGTTTCAAATCACGTTGCTGTTGTTGGAAGAGCTCGCAAGAAGCGGAACGTAAAGGCAGAACGTGATGGTCGGGAATTACTGACGCGTGCTGGCAGCGTCCTTGAGCTATGGATTGTTGGTGGATCTGACGGATTTGATATTTCTCTAACTGACGATGCAGCTGTTGATGGTGCGTTGATGCTTGATGCTGTTGGTGATGTGATTGAGGCTGGTGTTGCTGCTGCGAACGGCCAGGCGAAATCCCAGTTCCGGACCTCGCCGAAACCCCTTCTGCCCCTAGCGCCGCACCACCACACTCGCTCGCCAGGGGGCGCTGGAGGGTCCCCAGTCCGCCGGCCGGTAGAGATCACGTCTGGACATTAAATGAGAGAAAAAAAAATAAGAAAAAATGAGCTATGTTAGAATAGGAAAACTGTGAAGTTCGTAGTCGAACATTATAATTATATCTTACTATTTTTTTGTATCTCTCGTTATGTGAATTACATAGCACGAACAGTATCTAATACGCGACCGTCCATTGAAACTGCGCCACAATACAAATTGATATAACCGTAAAAAGCCTCCATATTTGTGTCTTATTTTAGTAAGAGTAAACTATGAAAACAAGATCGTTGCTCTTTAAACACGACATTCTGTTCCTACTATACAGAGGTTCAGACGCTATCAGCACTAAGTAAGTCTTCAACAATACTAGCGTCTAGCTCATTTTGATAGAAGGACTTTCGTTTTTCTCGTATCAACTTCATAACGGGTTACTACTTTTTACGAGATCTAGTCTACCAAAAGCTCTATAAACATCACCGCCAAAAGACACAGGCGACGTACGGGTGACGATAACCCCTGCTGCTTTTGACTGCAGTGGCCACGTGAGTGTCACGCGAGAAGCGTAACTGGATGAGGAGCATACACCGGCGTTGTGGTGGCTTATCGCTAATAATAATAGCCTAACTAATACGCGCTCTCGTGACCATTTACGGAACACCTTTGGATGACTTGTGATTCGGTGCCCAACAGCACTCATCTCACAGGGGAATAGCAAATGGCAAGTTTCAAGTCGTTCTTAGGTGACAGTAAGCTTCGCAGCTTGAGTATGACAATGAGAAACAGAATTCCAATACCAGAATTCGACGACAATTTGAAATTAAAGGTCCGGGGCATCGGTTCACTTTTCCACTGTGGCAATGCTAACAGATACATACGGCCAATCAGAATCACAAGTCCTGGGCTCTAACAACGACAATGACAAAAACAACAGCTGTCGGAACAATTTTCAGAATATTCTCATTATGGCAATAAATGTATGTATATCTTATCTTCCTATCTTTAACTAAGGGTCACCTACATCAACCATAGTTTTTTTCTTGCTCTCGTTTTACAATGTATTTTTTAAATATAACGTACGACCAGACTGATATCGCATAAAAGTCACACAGTTTTGTTGCATAGGGAATCCAAGGTTATGTACAGTGCAGCCAAAAATTCAGAGCTATCTTTCGTATGATTATTGCCGAAAAGCTTGCGGCTAATTGCGCCAGACTACTGCACGTATACGAGATCTCACTCGTTCTACGATACGGGCCAGCTTGCCAAGTTCTGTATTACGTATGACAAAAACCGTACGACCCGGGAGACTGTTACCACAGACTTGCAAGCCAGATGAGCGAGCAGTGGCAACTAGTTTGAACCTCCTCAAGCCGGGCGAATCACGCCATCTGAGACTCGTCAAGCACCGTAGTATATGGCCTCTGTCTGGCATGAGAGACCAGATCTTTCCTTCAGAAGTGCTCGTCGTGCCTTTCAACGGCTGCGTGCAAAGCGAGGCGTACGGCGATTGCTTACATAGCGACACAATACCATTCAACAATGCTATACAGGTGTATTGCTGTTCAAAAATGGAGGGACCTAGGAGGTTACATGGTGCCTAGGATGGTAATATTTATTGATCAAGTGCCTACTTGTTTTTTTTTTGTCTAATGTTAATTTACGCTGTCTTCCCCTTAGTTAATTTTAGTCTATATTATAGCAGTTTTTAGAATATTCTTTTTATTATAAAGTATTTTCCACATGCAGCTATCTATGGTCGTTCGTTGATTCCACTAAAACGATTATCAACAACTCTTAGAAAAAGTTCTTGGGTATACCTATTATTTTTCAATGCTAGCTCGTTAAAGTAACTGTCACAACTGACAACAATATCGGACAAGTTAACATTGTTATACTGCATATTCTCGTTATCTATCATTCTTGCTATCTAGTATATTTCTCCAAAAATTCACATACATTGCCCCAGCTTTTAGGGGTTCGCGTACGTAACAGGACCTCTGCAGTAAACAGCGCTTATACAAAGAGCCGATAGTAACTTTCACCAACAGCTTAGACACTGACAAGTCCACCACACTGAAGGCGTCCCCCGTAAATGTAGCGAGTTGCATATAGCCCGTTTGTAACGTACGTATCCACTTGTTACACCTAGCCTATTTATGTAGTACAGTATATGAAAACACAATTTACAGAGATGAGCAGGCACACGAGAGCACTTCACTGCAGACTCATGGTAGAATTTCCAGGTCGGTTATGTTTCCTCAAAGAACTCTTAGTCGGGTAATCGGACCGTAGAAAGCGTATCGAAATATCCAGGTTTGTCTTGTCAGATCTCTCACCTGCCGGGAGATCTCTTGCTGTGAGTATTCTGCGCATTCATAAAAAACGCACAGTACACATTACTCAATGTTTACAGACAAACATCAAAAAATCCTCTGTCAGCTAACACTTTACTTGCTCCCAAAGGCTTTACCACAAGTTTGTCCCATAGCGAAATATATGTAGACGTAACAATGGCTATGTTTACTAATTCGTTTAGCGGACCCTAACAGATTGACTCGATCAATTCGTAAAAGCGGGTTTTCAAACTCTCACACAAGCGGTAGCCTAGAATTATAGTCAGAAATCGTGACTCCCGATAAATGCTGTCGAAAAACTGAGAGTTCCTCATTGAAGTTCAACCACTGTCGGCAATCAGCGATTGCGTGGGTAAAATCAGCACTCAGCAAATCCGAAATCTTGGTACAGCACGGGCTGCTCGAACAGCTATGCAACTAGTGGATTTATCAACGTGCTTAAAGACGTGCAGCACGACAACACGACTTCCACCATCGCTAGCAATGTCGACTTCCGTGTCGTTTCTGTTGCGTTTTGCTCCGTCTCCTCTAATCATCAACAGGCACCCTTTACGGACTGTCACTCAGGTTACTTGCAGTATAACTATTATTAGCATTGGTTCTGCTAAATTAACGCTTATGCATACGCGACAATGGCAATTGGCAGCGGTAACAGCGGTGTTCTTAGTGATCTCCTGCAGTTAGTCGACGCTTTGTTTTTGCTTTTATCATAAGCGCATTTGTTGTTTTTTTTTTTCGCCCACTCGACTGTACTTCTCTGTGGTTATTTCTCTGAATGCCGTAACGTGCATTTGTAACTTTGTTCCGCCTATATGGCCGTTTTCGTCGTCACTGACTGACTGCAGCGTCCTCTCTGCTAGTGTTTGCCAACAGGCATTTAACGTCCGCGCCGTCAGCGTTAACTCTCTATTAGCGAACTTTCTGTCACTGCGTCACACTCGATGCCCACTTGCCACTCGGTGTCGATGCGTATTCGTGGAACAATTCCATCGGGTGGACGTCTGCTTGCCGTCGTTCATTCCACTGGAGGGCCGTTCGAGACAGCGGCGTTTACGGCTGTAACGTTCAAAGGAGAAAAGTGGAGATGACAGATCTATTAACGTTGCACTACTACTCGCAATGCTACTGCTCTTACTGCTACCATGAGCGCTCCATCCCCGATAGATATGTATTGTCCCGATTCTAGCGCAGCCGGACAAACACACCGACCGACCGGCAGACAAAGACAGGCGGAAACAAGAGTAAGTCGTAGGCACCAACATACATACAATTACGGTCTTTCTCCCTCTCTCTTAAAAAATTGGGGTTTCTTTACCGCCGCAACGGTTTTTATGGAAATGACCCTTTCTAGCGGATTGGCACCGACTGGTGGATGGAACTGTTGGACGGGACAAATATTGAGACTCCGCAAACGTAACTCGCCTGTAGTCGATGCGAGTGTGGCTCGATTGTCGATGATTTGATGGCATTGATGGTAACAATGAAGCGTTTGACGGGTATACCAAGTACAGAATTATCAGCTGCATCGAAGGTTTCTGGTTGATGATGCGGTCACAGCTTGGGAAAGAACACCTAGAGAGAAGACTCAGAGGTAGTTGGTAGCTGTTACGGAGTGTCAGCAAGCTTGTTGATTAGAGGGAAAAAGGAAGGACAGATTTCCTTTGTCTGTCTTGCCTAACACTCGAGAAAACGTATTTCGGGCAGGATTTGATGGACAGACGTCTCTGATGATTGTGATCGGAAACAACAGATTTCGCATTTCATTGTGTACGTATGGCTTTTGTTGGAAGATTATTCATAGAATTTTCTGCCTCACTAAAGCCAGCCTGTCTATACATTTCACAACTGATTTTATAACGGCGTTTATAAAAATCGTTTCGACCAATACATAGTACCCTTGGTTTATACAGTTCATTCTCGTGGTGCCGAATTTTGAGGGGTAAATTACCTTCTGAGAGGTCATGGCCCTATTCATCCATTCTGTCTTATTCCACCTGTTCTTCTTGTAAAAGATTAGTTCTTCTAACTATCATAGTTACCCTGATATAACACCAATTTGGCCTGTGTTTTTTCCCCCCATATCCCGTCTTTGCTATGCTCTTCTGTTTCAGCCAAAGACATCTGCGCCACCTACTATTGAAAATGGTCCACCAGAAAATCCGGCATTAATATCAATATCCGGATTTACATGCATAATGTTGCGTATGCATAGAATGGCTAATAGCAAAGTTAACGGTGTAATATCACTCATGTTTAGATAACAAAAACTCTACGCATCAATACACAAAGAATGTACATGAAAAGCTGCGTTCGTCCTTCGATTGAAGAACAGTGTCTGAAAAGATCCGTTCCTGCGAGATCACTTGTCGTTGAATAACTGCTAATAAATATCATAACTACCTTTCCTAACGATATTCTGTTTGAGGTCTAGTTGATGTTCGTTATCTAGTCGATCAGCTCGACAGCTGCCACGGTGCTGATCGATACCTCGACCAACCGCTTTCCTCACGGCGTCAATAGCAAATTACTAGGCAAAACCCGTGGGCGTGACAATGTTGGTGTTGTTGTTGTTGCCTGTTAGGTGGTTGTCATCTATTGTAGCTTGTCGTTTCCTGTTGTAGTTGCAGTAATCGCTTTAGGCCGTGATCGTCATCATTCGATTGCTAT